GGCATGCAATGAGATCCTGTGTTTGCAGAGTAAGCACCTTCTTCTATGTACACGACGTCAAGACAACTTCTAAGACCTACTCCGGGCAGAAGGCGGGATGGCTTTGCAACTTTTTGCATTCTTGGGCACATCGAAGGTGCGCTGAGCGCTGAAACACGATGATCGAAGTACTACAGCGGCACATGCTCATGGGTCTAGAGCCGAGGGTTTAGAGTCGGTTTAAAGCTTGAGCTTCGTGTTCGGAGTCATGCTGCCAGGAGCTTAGCTCAAAGTCTAGGAATCGTCGGCCTTTACAAAATGGAAACGTAGATACATGTATACACATATGCATGTTTGCAGGGACACATGTAGACATACGTATATACCTGCATGCATGCATGCATGCATGCATGCATGCATGCATGCATACATGTGTACATAATTGTACATACATGCATATGTACATGCAGACACCCCATACATTGTACGGATGCAGATGTACAGAAGTTCACATGTACATACATGCCCATATACAGATACAGATATGTACATCTATGCATACGTGCGGCTGCCCACCTCAAACCCCAGCCCTGCGGGCTGCGTGTACGGGGAAGCGTTGAGTCTGTGATGGCCTAAGCCCTAAGCTGTAGACTTTAGGCTTTAGGCTTTAGGGCTTTCGGGCTTTAGGGCTTAGGGTTTGTATGGTTTAGGCCGTTTAGGCTTTAGGCTTTGGGGCTTCAGGGTTTAGGGATTGTAGGGTTTAGGGAGCACCTCAACTCCAGGTCCCTAGCCCCTAGGGGCCCTAAATCCTAAATCCCGACAGCCCTCAGCCCGAAAGCCTCAAACTTTTTTGATCTAAGCAGCCGTGAGCCCTGTTGAAAGTGGAGTGCTTTGATTCTTCGAGTAAGGTCTTGCCTGTCAGCCGGGTGCCAGCAGCCAGGCTCGAGAGCCTGCCGCATCCGGCATCAGTATTATATGGGAGTTTCCGAAACTAAGGGGTACCTTTATTTTGGGGTCCTCATAATCAGGATCCTACTATCTACTATTTAGGGTACTTTATTGGGTCCCCTATTTTCGGAAACCCCCCATATTGGCTCGTTTGTTTGATACCTCAGCCCGAGGCTTGGACTGCAGCCTCTTGCTGTCAAGCGTCTTGCGTTTCTTCTTGAGGGTGGGATTTCCAACTAAAGAGCACCAAACTGAATCATCATAGGGGAAGGGAAGATGACGGTTGTAGTTTGGAGCCAATAAAGGGCCGGTGCTACGATTTCACATAGGACAAGACAGCAGTATGATGACCTAGTGGTTTTAGAGACGAAAAAGAGTTTTTTACATGGGGTCTGCATCACGTGCAGGATGTTCCACAGCAAAGCAGCGGAACATGGTATGTCAGAATCACAGGAAGCAACACCCCCGCACAACAACACTGTCACAGCAGAACGGCACTAAGAAGTGTGCAGCCCGAGGAAGACTCGAAGGTGAACAGTAGCACAACTGCTATAAGCTGTAGTTCTGTGGTGTGCTCTGACGATATTCCAGTCAAGGTGCCGCTGTTTGCAGCAAGCTCCGAAAGGACTTAGGGAATCACCCCCCCCCTGGCGGGAAGCTACTGCAGCTTCGTAAATGTATGGCATCTTCCAGGAGATCTTGCGGGCTAGGGCAGACACTTTCGAAGTTTTGGCTTTGCCGGTTTCGCAGCCAGAGAGGCCTGCAATTGTCCAGTTACCTCGGATTTTGCTCGGTCATTCCCCCAGTGGTGATCGTGCGTTGGGACGGATTGGGGGCTGCGTTTGTTCACTATCGTTACTGATTCAGAATGACTCTGTTGCAATCGGTTCAGCACCTCGTACTACTGCTTGCTGGTGACTCCTTCCGTCCCACCATTTGATACGTCTCGCTTCCTGAGGGTGTCGCAAGAGGCCGCCCTGGTGCTTCCCCACCATACTGAGTGAGAGCACGCGCTGAAAGAAAAACGTATCAATCCTCATCCCTAAACCTCAACATCTGGTCGGGGTTGCTTCTGTGCTGCAGCGAGGATACCCGTATTTATATGTGTTTTACTTCTATCTTCGTGTCTACTCTTCCCGAATATTTCTGTATTAGCACACTGCGTTTTTTTGTATGAGCATGTTCTGTAATGCATTGCTGTATACTCTGTGTACTATTCTGGTTAGAATGCTATTCTCGTTAGAATGTTGTTTATGACTATATAGTTACTAAATTATTCATAAATATACATAGGCATGTGTACAGATAGATAGATAGATAGATAGATAGATAGTACTGGTATGTAGGTAGGTCGGTAGATAGACAGACAGAGAGGTAGGTATGCACACGCATATCTCCTATACCCACGTATGTGCATACAGATATACACACGTTTTTGCATGTGTATATATATATATATGTATATACACATGTACATACGCATCACTCTCTCTCTCTCTGCATGTACGTATTATAACCTATATCAAAGCATATTTTATGATATATATATATGTTGGTAAGTACTAACATGTATATATATATATACACATACAGTCACTTTTCACACATGACTGCATGTTATCCCATAATGTTTTCGATCATGTGTGGGTGCTTGTTTGCAAGTACTGAGACATGTGAATATATAGATATATATCTACACACACATACTGTGAATGTTTGATTTTCGTTTTATATGGCCTCATGAATTTTCATACATTCTTATGGATCACCACGCATCGTCATGTATTGTCTCATCTATCTCTCTCCCTCCCTCTACATATCTTCATATACCATTAAGTGTTAGATCTGTAAGAATATGTAGATATACTCATACATGTATATATACATATGTGTGTATGAGCTGCTAGTTGCTTTGAATTATGCATTATGACAATTTGCCATCTGCTATCACGCAATACTAGTTGTTAGTGTCAGTTTTCACCGCATACTTTAATATGTATAGCGTGTTACATAACATTGCCTGTTCTCACTATAAGCATTTCTGTATCCTTGTATACTACGGTGCAAAAATATGTTTTTCGAGCATGTTGTCTTCTATTTGTTTGCTTCTACATCCAAATATATTCATATTCTTACTATTACCATATATCATTTCTTACAACTTTACGATAGCATACACTACATTCTATGAGTTAGTCTTTTTGTATTTTTTCATTTTTGGTTTACATGTTTAGTTCTATATGTCACTCTCGTGATATATATATATATGTTGCAATATATATGTATATATGTATACATACATGTTACAGTGTATATATATATACATGCGTGTTTGCCTGTGTCTTTAGCATGACTATATATTACCGAGTCTCTAAGCCAGTCTCTTTGTCTCGAAGTCTTTCTCATCCTCTGTGAGCCCCCAATTTCTTGGCTTCCGATCCAGCACTCCCAGTCCCAAGACGGGGCACCCTACAGACAGCCTTAAGCCCTGAACCCAAAGGTTTGAACAGAAAGAACCCTGCCTCCCTACGAACTGCAAGGACCGAAAATGTGAAGTACCTCGTGGCCGAGATCTTTCGACACGCTTCCTTTGGTCCCGGCACCCAGAGTGTCTGGCATCCTCAGGACTGTCGGGCCCTGTGGGGTTTTAGGGTCTGGGTCTTCGGTAGAAGAACCGAATCCGAGGATTCTCTGGGCTGTTACGTTGAATCGGGATTGCTTCAGCCCTGCTCCTGCCATTCAGCTGCACGGGTGACATCATCAGCATGCAGCGCGCTCATCATTTTGTCGTACGTCGCCGGCCCCTTGCCAGTTCTCGCCTCGTCTCGTCTTCTCATGCAGTATGTTGCGCGAAAATTCTGCCGTGATTCTTAACATGTCAAACCAGGAGCGTCGACATGATGTGTGGCTTTGGTACTGGAGGAAATAGTGTCCAGCATTGAATGTCTTGAGTTGCCCGTTCCTGTTGTTCAACCATGTCAGTGTATATACCAGCGTCATCGGAACTGCGACGAGACTCAGCCATTCTGGGTGAAGGCACAGAACAGACTATGGAAGAACCAGCCTCATCCACGCCAACGGGTATGTTCTCCCCCGCACAGTTTTCTTGAGAAGACCCCCGAGCTCTACGGCCATAAACATACAAGGTTAGGTTTTTCATGCCGTTGAACCCCTTAACCCTAAACTGCATAGACCCTACACCCTAAACTTGTAATGACCGGCGCGACAGAGAGTTTGTGTCCTACCCGGTGCCTTTTGTCGTCGACTTAGGCCACAACTCTGTGCGCATCCTGAACAAGGGGCGCTATGTGCCCGGCTCTTGGGCGGGTACCGAGGTTTAGTGTTTCAAGATCTAGGGTTTAGGGTTCTAGGGCTTAGGGTTTAGCCTTCATGTTGACGCTTTGGGACCTGTTGTATCCTAGTTCGACAATCTGATTGGCGTTTTAAGTGTGTTGCAGTCAACACACACAACATCGTCAAAGTCACTCAGACTCTTGTGAAGCATAAATACGAATATCATTGCTTTTGGCATCGTTGGTTCGACTAGGCACACTTACATAGCCTGGTAGCGTGAGGACTGTGATTTTTTTTGCAGGTCCTGCTGTGGCATGTCACTCTCTTTGCTCTCGTGATTTGGACTTGTGTTGCTAGAACTGCCTTATTTCCTGCTACCATTACTATCGGCACTGGCAAGTCATAGTACAAAATATTTCGGCTACCAGTAGTGCTGGCATCATGGCGAATGCTGTCACCGATAGCTGTCGTTGTTGCGCTTTCTTGCCAGCGCTTTTCCATGCTTGTGATCTTCACCTTGCCTTTAGCAGGCATGCCTTGCAAGTACTGGGACACCCCAAACGTCGATGCACTTGACATGGGTTCAGTAGGGGACTTCAGTGCGTATTATTCAAAGCCACACTTGTCAAAGCTTCCCACTCTGAGTAGTTTGGAGCTTACGGGCACCTGCCTGCAATCTGTAAGCACAAGGCCCTCTTCACATCCCTGTCGCAGTGGCACTCCCCCCGTCCTATGCATCCCCTGGCCTTCCTCGTGCTGGTCCCTGCAGGCTGAGGCAGATGTCTTGCAAGCCATATCTCAACAACCCGGAATGGCAGCTTCCCGAGGACTCCCGAAAAGGGGAAACCCTTCCGAGCCCCCGTATCTCACTGCATTTCTTTTGACGGGTTGTTTCTTTGAAGTTCGGGTCACAGGTGTACTGCAGCCTTGATGCGCCTCCACTCGGCATGGTTTCAGTTCCACCACCTTTGACTGTCTACTACCAGTAACTTCCTTTCTTCTCCCAGGGCAAAGCTAAAGCCTCGGATCTTCTTTGAGCACCTGATATAGAAGCCTACTTTGTTACCACTACTAATCCCCTGGGTTCCTGATTTTAAGCCTATAATCATGGATCTCCGGACCCTGTCCTAACCATTAAGGCCCCAAGATTATCGGATCCTTAGAGTACCCCTTATAAACCAATTTCAAGAAACCCTTAAACGGGAATCCTATTCTTAAGGCCCCTATACTAAGTGAGCTGCCTTGGTAGGATGGTGTCATTGCCATCTCTGGTGGTAACGGCGCTCTGGGTTTGGTCATGGGAGGCTGGATTCTGCGCACGGCCGGGCGCCTGGGGGGTCCTGGTTTCGACCTCCGTTTAACCGGGAAACAGATGTTGTTGTTATCGTTGTTATCATTATTCATTTTATGATTTGTACGATTCTTAATAATATTGCTTGTTTGCTGAGATGGACAAGCACGTTGCAGCTACAAGCATCTTGGTGACACGGAGCTTACCACGAGGACTCTTTTTGATGGCAGCTACGAGTTTTCACCGCGCTAGACAGCGACGAGCTGCTTCAGCGTGACCCTGCTTCTTACACCCCTAAACCCTGAACCATCCCAAGCCCCAACCGGCACCTCTTTCCCAAAGCCAGAGCTTCAGTTCCCTTAGGCACAGAGCCAAGCAGCCCCTGCAGAATTTGGAAAATCTGGGGAGTTGGCTCAGACTGAGACCTCTAAGAGAAGCTCCCCTTGAGGCCAAGCGCCAGGGCGGCAAGAAGTTCACCATCAAGTTCCTATCCAGGCTTCTTCCTCTTCTTGTTTGTGGGTTTGGCGTAGGTACAATGGGGTTTACGGCTCAAGGGTGTCTGGGGTTCCGGGTCTAGGGAGCTGCGACGGTCAGCAATTCAGGCCTGGACCTGTCTGTGAATGCCAGGGTCGATGCTGAGTAGACAGACAACAAACAACAATGAATAATACCACAATAGGAATGACAACAATATTGGCACTAATAATGGAAATCATATTCATCATCATCATCATCATCATCTTCATCATCGTCATCTTCATCATCGTCGTCATTGTCGTCATCGGCATCATCATCATCATCATGATCATGATCATGATCATTATCATTATTGCGATCGTTATGGTTATCGCTATCGTTATCGTTATCGTCATCGTTATCATCATCCTTACCATCATCATCATCATCAGCTTCAATATCATCATCATCATCACCATCATCATCACCATCACCATCACCACCATCATCATCATCATCATCATCATCTTCTTCGTCATCATCATCATCATCACCGTTACCATCGTCGTCATCGCCATGATCATCATCACCATCATCATCATCACCATTACCATCAAGACCTCCTTTAAGGTTGAAGGCTTAAGTCTCAGGGTTGAGAGCAACGTTTAGAGTATCATCAACAACATTCTCTCCACATGAGGCACGGTCTTGCAAGTCTTGCTGTCTTTGGCCAGAACAGTCGTTTTCATCACTGCACGATTGTCTGACAGACGAATCTGTCAAGAGGAACTGAGCGACTAGCGCTGGGAGTCTTGCATATCGGCAGCGTGATTTCTCTGCTTCGTTTGCTTCTGCCATTGCGGTTGCCCTTCTGCAGGTCCTGCAAGATCAGCGATCAGAACATGCCCAACTGGCAGGACCGGGATGGCGACTTTGATCACGTTTCAATTCGAGTCGTGCACAGAAAACTTACAGCCCAGCGTCCGCAGAAGCTATCGGCTTCTGGAGCGAAGCTTCACAGCGACGTAGGTGCAGGTGTGTAGGTGTCTATCTTCCTGCCTGTCTCTATGTATGGAGGTAAGTATGTACAAATGTAGGTATGTATGTACGTATGTGCGTATGTACATATGTATGCATGCATACATAGCAGAGACAACGCAAAGTCTGGAATCATGGGCTCTGGTCTCGTGTTGCTGAAAGCGGCCGTAAGGTTCCTGATTATAGGTGTACTATAAGGTACCCAAAACCCTACTCTAATTATCAAGGCCTGCATATCTCTACGCTGCGCCAGGAAGTCCAGTCACTAGCGGCGTCTCTGGGCATCACAGTGGAGCAGGCGAAGTGCGACGTGAGCTCCCAGGCGCTGTGAGTGCTTCAAAATCTATCCTAAACCCTAAACGCTGGATCCTAAACCCTCCCTGATCCCTAAGCCTCAAGCCCTGAACCCTCAGCCCTCAACCCTGAACACTTTAGACGCGAGGAGTCGGTGGATCAGTTCATCACCAGCGTCACACCGAACCTCACAGGAGCAACTCTGGAATCGGAATCGCTGCTAGCTGCATCGGTCTTTTCGGGGCCCGTCTACTGCAAGCCAAGCTGCTGGCAGCCTCATCTCCCATGACATGGCATGGCCCTGATCCTGTCAGGATTTATCCACTCGGCCGGAATTCTGCAGGCCCGGCAGTGCGCTCACGACGGTTATGGACTCTCACCGCAACCCAGACTGTAGCAAAATCAGTCTGGTGAGGGGAGCACAGTGCAGGCAGCAGCTTTCTGCTTCACACTCAACGTACGATATCTTGGCTTGCGCAATCCCGCGACCCCCAGTTGGCCCTGTACTTGAAAAGTGAAACTTGACATGCTGGACTCAGCAAGTCCGGGCCTCGCTGGTGAGAGCTTCATGTGGTTCCTCCAAAAGAGCACCAGGGCACCAAAGGCTAAGTCTGTGAGAAGGCCTCATGTGTCAGCAGGGTGGCATTTTGAGTCGGAGCGTGTAGGTTTTTATGAGGGAAGATCTGCCTCAGCGCAGGATGCTATGCTCATGAACCAGACCTGGGAAAAGTTCGATGCCGTGTATGAGGAGCGAAGGGTATTCGCCCTGCACATCCCCTGCCTTGCAAATAAGGGTCCAACCTCTTGCCGCGTGCATTGCACGAGGAAATCTCATGTGTTTCGGTATGGGGTCCGGTGTCAAACTTCAACTCCACAATTGCAGGCTCAAATCCGCAGAAACGCTTGTCAAAACAACGAACCCTTCATGACTGGAACTCGATGATCGCTCTACTAGGTCTCCGGGAATGGATCCTAAACCCTAAACCCCGAGCCCCATGAAGAGGCGGGATGCTTCGACCTAAACCCTAAACCCTAAACCCTAAGCCCTGCCTAAACCCTTAATGTCCCCTGGAACGAGCATCGCCTTCCGAAGGTTCAAGGGGAGTTGGCAGCTCCCAAGTCATGCTACTGGCTTAGGGACTAGACCAGCTTCCTTTAGAAGGGTTCCTTTAAGGGTTCTTTACCAGGGTTCCATAGGGGTTGTAGTAAGGGTTTAGTATAAGGGGCCGTCATTATTTAGAAGAGGGTTTTGGGGTAATTGCCCGTAAAATTCTATCAAGGGGAACCCTAAACCCTAAACCCTAAACCCTTGGGAGTGCTGTTATTCCGACCGATTCTGCCCAGACAGCGACTGGGGACTTGGGGGAGCCTGAGCTTTCGGCACGAAGTCCAGGTCTTCGGTTTAGGGTTTGGAGTTTGGGGTTTAGGGTTTGGGGTTTGGGGTTTAGGGTTTAGGGTTTGGGGTTTGGGGTTTAGGGTTTAGGGTTTAGGGTTAGGGGTTTGGGGTTTGGAGTTTAGGGTTTGGGGTTTAGGGTTTGGGGTTTAAGGGGTTAGGGTTTAGGGTTGGGGTTTAAGGGGTTAAGGTTTAGGGTTTAGGGTTTACATTTAGGGCTAGCAGAAGCAACACTACCGTGGTCACCACCACCACTATCCACAGCATGATCCAGATCATCATAAGAGTAGTCTCGATTTCCTTTTGAGCGGGATCAGCCTGGGCTCTTACCATGCGGTCTCAGACCTGCCACAAACCTTCAACCCCAAAGCCTGAGCAGTGAGTCCGAATTCTTAACTTGATCTTTGCACCTCCCAGCCTCAACCATAAAAGCCGCTCCTAGTAAGTGTAAGCTCGCAGCAAGTTATTTGGAAGGCCAAGAGCCGCGCGGCCGCCTACCTCCACGATGCGCATCTGCACCCAGAGGGAGAGAAGGAGTACCCACAGGCTCCTAAGTAGTTCCTTTTTAGGGTTTATATGTAGAATCCTATAAGGTAATCCCAAAAAGGAACTACTTAGTGGCCTATGGGTAGGCAGGAACGAGCAGCAAGAAGGGCCTGACTCAATTGAAACTCGCCTTTTGGAGGCTTTGAAAAAAAGAACTCGATGCAATTCTGGCTCGAAGAAGCCAGCGAAAGCCGGTGTTTTATGCCATGAACCGAGGCTGGAGAGGTTCTCGAACCCCAATCTCAAGTTCTTGTGGCTCTTCTCATCCACTGCCGTCGGGGCCTGATGAGTTCAAGCTTTGCACCGGCAACACCGGCAATGAAGGTGGTGGCTTCGCTGTCTAGGGATGAGGATCTTGATGTGAGGCTTTGGGATCACAGACGCTGACTTACGTCTTTGAACAGTCTTCCTACATACTCGAGTTCAACCTAAATAGAGGCATGGAAATACACCGGCATCTGGACCTTGAGGTGTGAGCCTGGGTGTAGAGTTCAGGGTTCTCAAGAAATGATTTGGTCGTTGTGTGGCCACGGGCTTTACTTGCCTATAGAATCAGCACAGAGTCCGGTCCACGGAGAATGCATAGCTGTGACAGTTTTAAAGGCTTGATCAGCACCAGCCCAGGTGTAGTGTGTCATTGGTGTTTACTCGCTTGAGATCGTACGCGTTGTTGTCGTAGTCGTAGTACGGAGTAACACTACTACTATTCACCGGTAGGCACAGCAACTTTTCGCAGTGTTTGTGATAGTAATTAATCTCAAGTTCCTCCTGCCTGTGGACATCCTGAGGTGTACGGCAACATGGGACAGCTGAACTACTCCTCGTCCAACGCATGGTTGGATGCTTTGTCTCGGCATCGGAATGCGCCGGGCTGCCCAGACATTTCGCTCGCGTGGCTGCAAGAACAGTTTGCCATAGAAGGAGATAACAAGTACTGTAGTAGTCACGAATCTAAGGCTCAATAATTACGAATGCACGCTTAAATGTGTCAGTGGGCAAGCAGTTTGGTTGAGGCCTTGCGCGCAGGTGGAATGCTTGTCTTTATTCGCAGGCTTTCGCGAGAAGCGACCGCTAGCTTGTTAATGTGAATACCGGACGGTAACAGTTCGGTGAAGGCAAGGCTAAGTAGTACAGATATGATGCGCGAAGCAGTTTGAACATTTTTCTTCGCTGCCCTACTGGGCTGCAGGAAAATCAGAGCAAAGATGCATCTCGCCCCGACCCGGCCCAAAATCTGAGGGCTTGTTGGGTTCTGCAAGGCACCGGACGGACACTGCACCGTGCACCTCTTCGGCTAAGATGCTGAAGATGTGACTTCAAGACTTCAAGTCTCAGCAACCCCCTAAACCCTAAACCCTACATAAACCCTGAAACCCTACCTCAAGCCCTAAAGGCCTAACAACCCTAATCCCCAAACCCTTATACCTAATCCCGGGGCCCTAGAGCCCTAAGCTCCTTCAATCCCCGAACCCCAAAACCTTCCAACCCCATAACCCCGAAGCCTTAAATCCGAAGCAGCCTCTGCAAAGAACCCCCAGGCCCCGACACCCCAGCACCCTGAGTTTAGGGTTGAGGGGTTTGGGGTTTAGGGGTTTAGGGTTTAGGGCCGTTTAGGGATTGGGGTTTAGGGTTTAGGGTTTGGTTCTTGGGGTACCTCGAAGCCCCGAGGAAAAGTGCGTTTTGGCTCAGCCGTCTTCCCGGGGCCAGAGCGACCCTTCGAGCCAGGCTTGGCAAACCATGCGCAGCACCGCAGCGCAAGCCTTGGCAGGGCTTCGGTTGTGGAGGTTTTGTGGTTTTTTCGTTTAGGTTTCGGCGTAACCAAGGCAGGACGGAGTTTTGGGCTGTTTAGGGCCTAGGGCCTAGGCTAGGCTATAAGGGCTCTTGGGGTCGAGGCTTTGGGTTAGTGTTGGTTAGGATCCAGGTTTCAGGGCCTCGGGCTCAGTTGTTTCGGTGGAATTTTAAAGGCAGGCTTACTGCGGCTTGCCCTTCCCGGATGGCATGGGCCAGTGCACGCCCAACTTTGACTGACCTCGGTCTGAAGGCCACCCGTCCCAGAAACGTGAATGTACCCAAAGTATGACTGGCGGTAGCAACCTTGTACTCGTTTTGGCATAGGTGCTGGTCGCCTTGCTTGTCGCACTGGCAGAAACAGTGGTAGGGGTAGGATCTTATGACTGGTATCACGCGTACTGTGATCTTGGTGATTCTAGCACCTCTGTCGCAACAGTAAGACGTGGTATGACCCTGCTCAGATTGGCGAAGAACGGGTAAGTTATTGCTGCCGATAGTACTCAGATCAATGACCTAGTAGCAACAAGTAGGAATAGTAGGCCAGGCTTTGGAGAAAGGGCTTCGTCGCAGCGGATTTTGCGAACCGATAGCGGCATCAGCAACCAAAGCACATCAGGGCGGATGACGATGCGCAAATATCATGACATTTGTAGGTTGCTATGCAGCCGCTTTCATCGTGGAGGAGCAAACTAATATCTTTGGCCTTTCTTGCAAAGGTGGGGTGCCTGGGGCGAAGTGGGGATGGCTGCCAACTTAGATGATGCCTCGCAGAGGCCAGAAGGGAACGACCTTGTCTTATCGTCTGCCTCTGTATAATATATATATATGCATATATATATATGTATATATCTTTTTCATTTTTTCATTTCCATGCACTCAGAGGAGTCCGATGTATATATATATATATACATATATATATATGTATATGCACATATACATGTATATGCACACGTTTTGATAGAAACAGATGCCTGTACACACACACACAGAAACTTCACATGTGTATATATACATATATAGACATACATGTATCTACACATATAGGTAGATACAAAGGTACATACACACATACACACACAAGCCCACACATGACATGATAGAGAACAAATACATCTATACACATGTACATGCGTATTCATATGTATGCATGCACATATGCAGATATGCATATATACATATATACATGTATATACGTATGTACATATGTGCATATATGCATATGTACATATACACATATAACATATACTTGTTGCTTTATCTATAGAATTGTTTTTTTGTTCATGTGTTTGTTTATTAGTTACATATACATACATATGTACATACATACACACATGCATGCATGCATGCATACATACATATGTATTTATGTATATATAGGTATATATAGACATATGTATGCACATGCATATGACTATTTGCTGAACTTGCTGCAAGCCCAGCTCAAGGCTTGGGCTTAGTCTCGCGAAATGGTTGCGGTGTGCCTTCGAAGTGCACTCGGGTTTGGGGTTTAGGGTAATGCCGCAGAGCTGTGCTAGGTTTTTGCAAAAGAGAAGAGGGACTGAAGGAAGGCCAATTGCTCCCAAAGTTCGGGTTGAATTCGGGTTTAGGGTTTACAACCACCCTGAACCCCTAAACCCCTAAACCCATCATTAAACCCATTTAGGGGCTTGGGTTATGAAGATAGGAGTCGGCTGCCACTTTGCATGAGCGGGTCACTCGTCAGGCGGATGGCGCAAAGCCCCATGCCGCCATTTACAAACGTCCGGGCCCTTGAAGGGAAAGAAGTTCTAAGGGCATCTAAGGGCTTGAAGGTTTCAGTTTAGGGCTTGGGGCGGGTGTGAGGTTTGGAGACTTCGAACGCTCTTCGTAGCTTCTTGTCCAGCTGACCACGTGCTGGGTCGAAGCAGTGGCGCACGACTGCAGTTGCTGTGGATATGCGCCAGAGTTCGAGCAAGTAGGATATTGTAGGAATGTGATCATGCGGTTATGCAGCAGGTTTGGAGGTCAGATCCGGCATGTGTGAGCCAGCCCCTTCAGGAAGCTTGAAGCTTGGTGTCGTCACTTGTACACACACACACACACTCTCACATATGCATACGCATATCTCCAAGGATACATCACGCATAACAATACCCATATCAAGCATAAGCATGCACGCTCACGCGCGCATAAACCCCTACACCTTAAACTCGAAACCTCACTCCCCCAACCCCCAATTCACCCTCCCCCCTGGCTTCCTCATCTTCCCGCGATGAAGAGGACGAAGACGGCCGGGAAGACTGCCGCAAACACAGGAAGGAAGGGGGAAAGAGGACTGATCTTGGCTCAGCTAGGTTCTGCTTGAGCTTCTTCCTAGGCTTATTCCTAGACCGCACAGACACAAACAATGCGCACAAGAGCTGTTCATTTCACATACAAAGATTGTTCCAACCTGAGCAAAGCATAACCGTTTATTCTGAACTGTTGGGACGAAGTGAGCACGGTTTCCTCACTGGGAAGCGGAAGGCCATGAGTGAGTCGAATTCTCAACAACAGCAGCCTGAGCCTGCCGATGCCAGCGCCACGAGCGCACCAACTGCGACCGACGCTGAAGAGCAGAAGGTCTCGCCGTCATCAGATTCAAAGGAGGAGAGCCGTGTGAAGATCGTGTTCATATCTGGTCAACAGGGCTCGGGAAAGTCTGCCTTCGCGGAAGCTCTCTTCTCCTGTGCGACTGCTAAGAAGCAGCACTCTCGAGTAGTTCTGTTTGATGGCGACGTGTGGGCGCTGGGGTACGATCCAACCATCGGGCCCAATCCTCCACCTGAGTCGAAGGTGAAAGATGACACTCCTTTCCGCGAGAGAATGACAGCCATCTCGGCGTTTCTTGCCGCCTTCCGCGGTAAGGGCAGGGAGGAACAAGCAACTGCCGATGCCGATGAAGATGCGTACCAAGACGACGAGAAACATGCCTCGTCGTGGCAGCCATTTTATGCCGCAATGTGTGAAGATGCGCTTCGTGTTGGGGCGAAGAAACTGCAGCAGGCAAGCGATGGTAGTGAGAGCTGTGTTGTGCTCATAACGCACGCTGTCTACCGCCGCTCGATGCGCCTCTTCGTCAAGAGTCAACTTGGCGACCGCCTTGCGCGATGGATCTTCGTGGATCCCTCGCCTAAACTAGCAATCCAACGAGCTGCCGAGCGTTGCTCGAAGCAGTATGCCGCAATGGGTAAGTCCGCAGAGGAATGGGCTATGTTGCTGGAGCCAAACAGCGCCGGATTCCAGCGTCCATCGATCGCTGAAGTCGATGCACTGGGCGGCGTCGACACGGGCAAGGTGGCGGTGCTGGAGAACAAGAGCGAGGATCTCGAGCATTTGAAGGCGGTTGCTGAAGACATGCTGGCGGACAACACTCTGTTCTGACCAATAACGCTCAATAAAGGTCACGGTCACGATCTCCGCGTTCACCCGAGCTCCACAGAGCTCTCTTTGCTCGGCTCTTTTTCAGGCGTAGAGATCATGAGCCTTTTCTCTGAGATGCCTGTTCACCGCCCTGGCGTCCTGATATTAGCAGTTTGCATGTGGTGCCTCCCCTATAAACCCTAAACCCTATAAAACCAAGTTAGCCCTGTGACCCGCATCCCGAGGCAGAAGGGCTCTTCGGACTGGAGTGCGGGCTGAGGAGTCTGCAATGCCCTGAGGGTTTCGGAACATTCGGGGTCCGGGGTGTGGCTATACGGTTTCAGGATTTCCGGCGCAGGGTTCGAGGGTTTCTATGCTGGGTGGTAGGGTTGAGGTGGGCTATTGCAGGCTACGAGAATCCAGGTGGGGCTTTTGAGCTTATAGGCCTTTATTCAAGGTACTTAGGGTTTCAATATGCCATAATCAATTATGGGCCCAGTCATCTTACTTGTAGGCATTTAGACCTTTTTGTCCGCTGCCTTTTACTTCTCACTTCCACTTGAGCTTTCGCTCCTACGGATGCTCAGGCCTGGAGGGGGTAGGCCTCGTCTTCCCGGAGCCTTGTGATCTGAAGCTCTGAACGCCCAAGAGCACACTCCAGGGTTTAGGGCTCAGGCTTTACGGCTTAGGGTTCAGGGTTTAGGCTTTAGGGTTTAGGGTTCAAGGTTTAGGCTTTAGGGTTTAGGCTTTAGGCTTTAGGGTTTAGGCTTTCAGGGTTTAGGCTTTAGGGTTCAGGGTTCAGGGTTTAGGGTCTAGGGTCTAGGGTCGAGGAAGTTAAGGGCTTAGACCTGGGTGCTTGGACCTCGTGGTCCCTTTCAGGTAGACATGCAGGACTCCCAGGTTAGATAATCTTGGGGCCCAAGTAATTACGTGTACTATTTTAATTTTGGGGGTTCCTTATTAGAATAATGTAGTGGAGTATACCCCAAAACCCTATTTTGATTATTAAGGCCCTTCTATTATGCCGGGGATCTTGTGGCCTTCTTTCTGTTACTGAGGGAGAGTCGCTGCCTTCCAGAAGACCAGAGACAGCGGCATCGCCCGTCCTCAGACAATGAGTCGTCCTCCTCGGCCCCGCAGAACGGGCTCAGAGAAACACTCGCAAAGATGTCGTCGTGGTTGTCGTGGAGCCCTGCAGGCGGGGCCTCGCATGTGGGGGAATGATGTCCGGGGCACCGCTAGCGAGATCTCTGCGAAGATCTGTCGGTAGCAGTGCTGCATTTGACGCAGCAGACGCAGCATGTCATGTCTCGAAGCTCGTCCACATCCCCGCCAATCCACGACATGCTTGAATAGCAAAAAACCTGAGCTTTGCGGCAAGACCCTAAACATCTGCAGCTCAACGTCTCGAGGCCGAGAACGGTTCTGTCATTCGACAGCCCAACATCTGGAAAGTCCATAGAAAGATGACCCGGCTCCTCGCCAGAAAGATCATTGCCAGGGCTGCTTGGCTTTACCCCGCGCTGCGGGCGGTCGCCAGCCTGTTGTGTGGCTGCCTGGCCCTCGAATCCCGGTGTGTAGGACGACTTACTATAATGTTTGGACTTTGAAGGCGGAATGTTTTGCGAGGTCCAGATGGCCAGCAACCCGACCTAAGCTCCCCACAGTCCACTGGAAAGCCCAAGCAGTGCTTGTGGGCCGAGGACTTCGACGAGATTTGCGAGACTGTAGATCGCGTGGCGATACTCGGTTCATGTTGGTAGTTCGTCCGCCCTGTTTGGCTCGGAAGTTGAGTGTAGGGTTTGTGCCTGCAAGATCCAGGAATTCAACCTGGCCCGTCAAATCAAGCAATTTGGTTTGTCAAGCAGCTTTCGGACGCGACGTCCCAAGTTGCATGTGAGACTCGCAGCCAAGGAGATTTGCTGGAACAGAGGAGCTCATAGAAAACAGCGGCACGTTGGCGGCAAATGCGGCAGTCAAGTCGAATGTGTGTCGGTTCAAGCTTCTTCAACCTGGTCCGTCTTTATGCATGCACTTCCTTTGTTGGGTGAATGCGGCTCCGTTCATGGTGCAGGAGTCTGGGTCGTTTGTTGCCGGTGCATCTAGACATGGCTGACATGTTCTGCAATCGAGGCCGAACTTTTTCATACAAAGTGGCTGCTTGGCAAAGCTTTAGCCGGATGACTTTGGCAGGCTGACCTTCAAGCTGCACATTTTGACAGTTGCCGTTCTTTTCTTAGGTGTTGGGGAAATGTGAGGCTTCTCAGACAGTGCAGATATCCAGCTCTTCTTGCACTGTGTTGCTGACTCTCCGCTAATCTTCGGTCTTGGGAAGGGGGAAGAAGATAGACTCGAACCTTGCGCAGCACTATTGCTGTAGTCCCAGGCATTATATACTATCTTTTCGGGTCTCATTAGTGTCCGGGTGGCTTACATATCGTCTGTAGCTGTCAGCAGATAAGCTTCCATCATTCATCTCATCCCCAGCTAGCCACGGGCATGAATGCTAGCACCTTCGTCTTGGAACACCGTCTGGAATCTGTTTTGGGGTTTAGGGTTGAGGGTTTGGGGTAAGCATGCTGAGATCGATTTCGAAGACTTGTCCTGGCAAGCGCAAGGTCCCTCACAGGGCAACGTGGCAGTCTCCACGCCACGAGGTGCGACTTGTTGCGATGGCTTTCGCTGAAGTGGGATATCGTGGACGGAATAGTAAACCGGATCGGGCTTGCGGCTTCTGGGAGAATTTGGCTTGGCTTTACTTTCGCTTTAGGGTGATAGCTGGATGGTCTGGCTTGCTCACAGCATCACGGCTCTGCTTTTCGCCAGCAAAGCACAGCCACGCATGGGATGATGACTGTGAGGAGCTGCCCTTCGATTTTGAGTATGCTGGTTTCGCTGCGAAGTCCCAGGATTTGTGTCAAATTTGCATACAATCCTTGAAGGTTCACGTATTCATGCCCACCCGATGCGGCAACTATCTGACCTCGACCATGCCCTAAGATCCAAAAGCCCAAAATCCTGAAACCAAGATCCTGAGCCCCAGAGCCCAGAACCCCCCCGCGACTTCCAGGAGTTGTACTGGCACGAGGGTGCTGCCGGGGCCACAGACCCGGCTGCGAGTCAAACGGCTATAATAGTAGGGTTTAGGGTGTAGGGTTTAGGGTTTAGCGTTTAGGGTTTATATCACCAAATACCAGAAGTGCTACTACCAACGAACAGTCAAAGGAGTTTTTTGACATGCCGAGACTTTACTGTAGGCAGATCTATCATGACTACTGAAAGTAGCTACAAGACTGAGACAGAAAAGAGCATCATGGACCAGTTGTAAGAATACTCATTCTCATCACTTCTGCTGGGGTTAGCACGAATTTTAGTTCATCCCTCTGAGTATGACTGGGTGCCGTGTCGAGCTGGGATTTCACTTGGTTCCCGTCGAGGATGCTGGTTTTCTGCTTTGCGTGGAGCTTCCGAGGCCATCCCGGAGCCCTCCTTCAAAGGCAATGCAGATCGCGCCGAGGCACCGCGAGATTTTTTGGAGTTTTTAGGCTTTAGCGCTTTTTTTGGGAGTTTGAGTTTAGGTTCGGTTGGTGATGTGCGAGCAGTTGGGCGGAGGGAGCTAAGATAAAGAACTCCAGCTCCCCCCGAACCCTGATTTCAACTTGGAGCTCTTCAGCCCTAGTTAAGCCTTAGCCTAAAAAACTCTGAGCCCCTATATAAGCGCCCCCGAAAGCTTCAAGCCTACACGAACCCTCGAAGTCCCTTTTGTCGCCCTTTTGCTTGGAGGACGAATCAACAGAAGAGCCGCCCGACAAAGATGACGCCAGCGCCGCGGGAGAGGCGCCGAATCAGAAGCCGGGGTTTGGGATTTGAGGGTTGTGGGGCTTTGGGTTTATGGTTTGGGATGAGGGATTTATATTGGCGATTGGGGTTTCGGGGTTTAGGGTTTTGTGGGCGATTGGGGGTTTCAGGGTTGTGGGGCTTTTATGGGGGATTGGGTTTCGGGGTTTGGCTTTCAACTCGGGTTTAGGATTTTAGGTAGGTTTGGGGCTTAATTCGGGTAGGGGACATTCTTGCTTAGGTTTCAAGTTCAGGACATTGAAGCTTATAGGGTTCAGGATATTGGAGCTTTGGGTGTTGGGTCCCGTGTGTTAGCGGATTTGGGACTTGTGGGGTTTAGGGTATCAGGGTTGAGGGCTCTTGGGTCTCTTGGTTTTGGGGTTTAGGATTTAGGGTTTAGGGTACTGGTTTTGAGGTCTTGGGTTTGGGGCCGTTTTGCATCCCGGGTTGTGTAAGCGGCAAAACGGACCCGGCCGCCCGACTTCCACCCGAGTTTGCTGCCAGCATGCATCGGGGGGGGGGGGGCATGTTCCGCCAGTAATACGTTTAATAATTTCGAGGGCTCCTGGTTACGATTACCGTCTAGTCTAGTCTAGTATATACCCCCAAGACCCTATTCTCAATGTTAAACTGGTAAGGCCGCTATATCATTACATCGCCATCCTGTGCTTGCGAGTTGGCATGCCCTCCGCAAATTTCCCCGGCCATGATCGCAAAACAAGCCCTACCCCCCTGCCCCCCCGACAGCTTTAGGGTTTGGGAGCTTAGGGCCAAAGTTGCAGCGGTAGGTTCGTGGATGTCATACAACACCCGCGAAGTCTAGCTTCGAATCATGTGTCTAGAAGGCTCTCTGCCTTCTCGGTAGCTGTTCTTGAATGCCCAGAGAATAGGCCTCCCGGGCCATAAGCTATGAGAAGCTCATCGTGAGCTCCCGAGGCCTCGATCTCTTCAGCGTTATAACACAGTGTCTGACTATTCTGTAATGGGATTTCCTTATCGTCCCTATAGTTACGCCAAAACATTAAGGCCCCCGTCGTAGCCTGTGTGTCCTGAAACCAGGCGTCGCCATGTGCCGAGAGCGACCCGGCTGTGGAGCAGCATGGCAGCACGCACTGCAGATTTTGGGGATCTATAGGGCTTCGTTCTTTTGGGCTTCGGGTTTAGAGTTTAGATCTCGCTTGCGG